TTTTTTTTTACTGCATTGACGCACGGAAAGCAGGTAACTTGTTATTTTAAATTTTGCGTATTTTCGGACATTAATATCGTTAACGGAATCACAACGCACATCCGGTCATGTTCTGTGATTTATGCAAGTTTTTTTCTGATTATAAATAAACTTAATATTTTGCCAGTAAAAAATTTCTTTAGCGAGGCTATAAAGATGACAAATTTACAAAGGTGCACATATTTATTATAGACTTGTAGCATTCGCACCAAAGACCAACTGGCGGTACTTCTGAAGCTTGTTGAAGTCAATAAGATTGCCTTGACTCGTAAGAACCTGAGCATCCGGCAACGGGTCTGGCAGGTTATAACGCAGAAGCTCAATGAAATGCAAGGTGCTGAGAAAGATGTGGAGGGTTGGAAGCGGGTAAATATTAGCTAAAATTTTCTCTCATTGCGATCTTCAATTAATACTTTCCATTTAAGAGCTACAACGCTTGGCGTTTGAGTACCGGTAAATATTTCGAGGAAGAAAAGCAACGCATTATCAAAGATGGTACCTGCAGTTCTGTTAAACGTATATGTACATATATGCAAAATTTATTTACGATTCGATTTCACAGTGGCCGATGATGACTACTTCATTATAAATGTAACCGAAGAGGAGCTTGGTAGTGGGATTGATTACGATGATGGTGCTACTGTGAGTTAGTTTCATTAAGGAAAACAAGTTGTAAAGCTATTTGTTATCACAGTATTTGGACCCGAAAGATCTTCAGTTAACCCGCTTGCATGAGCTTGTAAGTAAACAAAGGCTTCTATTTATCAACACTTCCGAGGATGACGAGCCGCTGAAGCAGCGTCTGTGGCAAAATATAGCAGAGGAGCTAAATAATATACCAGATGGCATTAAACTGCCAAAAGAGGAGTGGCAAAAGGTAGCTTATACACTTTGAAGCACTTCAAAGCGTTAAGTAATAATTTTTAAATTTAATTTTTCCTCGGAACAGCGTGTCGATTTGAGACAATATACTGTTCCACGGGGGAGAAAACGAAAGACTTTACGAGGGCCAACAAAATCTGAAGCACCGATTTCCAAGGACAGAAATGACGAAGTAAATAATCTAAATTAGCCAGAAAACATGATTACATTCACATTTGTTTGTATTTTTTTTTGCAGCCAAGCAGAGAAGAAAATGTTAAAGCGTCGGTCTCATACGAGAATGCCTACGAGGAGTATATAATTGAGGAATTTCGAACAACAGACGAACAAACACATCAAACGCATACTACTCTCAACAATGATATAAGGAATGATGTATTTGCTGAAATAGATGATAACGATGATGATACTGATTATGTCATTAAATTACTTAATGACCCGCGTACAAATGATGTAAGTGAAAACTTTACGTTCGATGACTTTGATTCCGACGACGATGATGCGGATTTCGAAAATTTTGAAAGTATCAATGATGGTTCCGAAGCTTCCGTCAGAGCAAGAAACAAACGTGCAAAAGTGACTCCAATAGTTAAGGCCTTTAAGTATTCGAGCCGCATAACTACGGCCGTAGAAAAATTAAAGGATGATGTTAAAGAGACTAAGGAGATTCTCAAACAAACAAATACCTTATTAAGTCGCATGTGTAATATTATGGAGGAGCACAACAAGAAACAAGATGAGACAAATACGCAGCTCAAACGTAATGGACAATTGTTAAAAATTTTAGTAGAATATAAATGTGGTCTGCGGGGCACGTCGAAAAAATGAGATACTACTTAAGCAAGAAAACATACTACACTTAAATATTTAAGACGAAAATAATGGTATTGCGTAATAATGCGTTTTCCTTTCTATGCCGGGTACGTCGAAAAAATGAGATACTTAAACAAGAAAACGACACTTAAATATTTGTGGCCCTATTGTGTATAGCGACTGATAGCCGATGGGCAACGACTACTGACTGTCTGCTACTGAATTTGAGTAGCGCAATTTTCTGTTTCCCGCTTATGACAATTTTGTTATTTGTTAACATAAATTGTTAAACACATTGGAGCAAAGTTGCCAATTACTTCGAAATGTACATGCCAGAAAAGTTAGTTCGAATGTTGTCTACCTTTTTCAGTATACTGAGATTAATCGCTATACATATCACAAAGTACGATACTGGTAGCTATGGCTACTAGACCAGCAACTAGATACCAGTCGCCATACAAAAAAGGGCCATTAAATACAAAAGCAATGGTATAGCATAGTAATGCGTTTTCAGTTCTATACACGCAACCGACTATTCTTTAAAAATGACTGTAAAATTTTAACAAATTGAATTTCAAAAAGAAGGAGGTTATCAATATATCGGATTCCGGGATCCCGGACACTTTTCCATGTCTTTTATTGATTCATTTACAGAATGAAAGAGATGTTGAAAACGAAAAAATTAATTCATTTCACATGACATAAGAGAAAACCGGAACATTAAAATTTGGAGTCGAAGTGAACTTAAACCATTTGTACATGGAAGTGAATTTCAGGACCTGCCTGAATAACTGTACTTGTTCAAATTTTTTGTGTAAGAACTGTGTAATAACGAAAAATCTAGTAGCAACTGAAAACACAACAAGCTTTTACAGTGTGGCACGAGTTGTTCTTCATTTTACTTTGTTAGCGTATTTTGGAAAAGGATTTCTGCAAATATGAATAAATGTTTTTGACAAGTAATATAGATATTTTAGAATACTATACAAATATTTAAACATCAAATTATGGACTCTTTTACCCGGGGCATTACCGGGATTCGAATTTTTGCATCCCGATATCCCGAGATTTTTAAAATGCTTCGGGATTGAATGGCCTAGTATGTACATATCCCAGTGGATAATTTCAAGAGCTAAAAGCCCATCCTGAGAGTCAAGAGGACTTCCACTCTACATTCCTTTCTTTTTTATATGGAACGGCACAAATTGAAGAATTCTTCTTTCGCTACCCATGGAAGGCCTTCCAGAAGGGCTTTTATAGGACGTACTTCAGAAGGTCTTTTGGAGGAGTTCTTTTCATTTCATTTCAGTTCTTTTAAAGTTGCTTTTTTAGTTTATAAAAATCATACATCTTGGAAGTATTTGCTTAAAATGTTGATTGAAATTCATTCGTAATGCTAAATAATATAAATTTATGCAATATTAAATGGATAAGCCCTTCTAGAAGGCATGCAAGGAATCACTTTCAGCGTTTCATGGCTAGGCCTCTTAGAATGGCTTTACTTAAGAAGACCTACCTAAATTATCTTCTGGGATGTTACCGAATAACTTAGCACCAGGTGACCCGGTTTCGATGATTCTTTTTTATACCCGAGTGCACTTGTGCACAAGGGTATATTAACTTTGTTCACATAACGGTTGATGGTAGCAGCCAAAACGAATCGAGATAGATATAGACAAATGTATACATAAATGCTCAGAATTAATAGAGAAGTCGACTAAGCCATGTCTGTCTGTCCGTCCGTCTGTCAAAAATTGAGATACCTCAACGAAATTTGGTATGTAGGTTTCCATTTATCCAAGGTAGGTTGGTATTGAAAATGGACGAAATCGGAGTGTAATCACGCCCATTTCCCATATAACGGTAATTTTCAGAAAGACGAAAACTGCGATATTTTAGTAACTACTGAATATTATTCACTCAAAATTGATAATTACAATAAATTTTAGACGAAAAATAAGAATATTATAAATTTTTGGAAAATGGGCGTAGCCACGCCCACTTATGGTTACATGTGTATATCTTGGTAATCGCTGCACCAATTTCTTCCAAACTTGGTACAGCCGAAAATTAAAAAAAAATCGGACAATAACCACGCCCACATCCTATATAACGGTAATTTAGAGAAACACAAAATCTTCGATAAGCCAGTAAATAGTAAAGCTAATTTATTCAAAATTGATGCTTGCAACAATTCTTTACCAGGAAATACGTTTACGATACAATTTTGGAAAATGAGCGTGGCACCGCCCACTTATGATCACATATATGTATCTCGGTAACCGCTCTACCAATTTGTACCAAACTCGGTATGGTTATTGTGCTTGCCACAAAAAAGCAAAACGTTGAAAATTATTGAAATCGGACTAAAATTACGGCCCCTTTTCATATAACGGTAAATTTCAGAAATGCTTGAAACTTCAATATTTCGAAATTTAAGGACGCTAATTTACTCAAAATTTATACATCCCGACTTACCATGTAGCGGTAGCTTTCGGAAAAGTGAAAAACATATATTTAATACTTGCGCCGGGTGTTTAATGTTCGGCCCCGCTTAGACTTTCTTATTTGTTTTTATTGGAAAGGGTGCTCCCATACTAATTTGGTTTAGTTCCAATAGTTGGATCTACACGAAACTATCGGTTTTCCTAATTTTTTATTGTTGTTTTTTTTTTTTTTAATTTCAAATACATTTAGGTATGTTTGTATGTATATATTTTTGTATATTTCTTTGCATTATTTAGATTCACAAAATTTAACTCTGATACTGCTAACAAACTGCTAACTTACATATAAATGTGTGTGTACCCTAGGGTACATTTAGCTCTATTGTATTCATATCTGCGTTATGTAATTTGGTATTATAAAGTCACAATTTGATGAATTATTATTTAGGCATTACACTACATGTAAAGTTTAACAGTTTTATCAATAGGACACACATTTATGTAATAATCTATGCATCGCATAAACAAGTTTTTGATATTTAAGAAATTATACATTTTTATGTATGTATAATAACTATATTTTACTTACATAAGTATTCATTCTAAGCTTATTTTGGTATCCCATTATATCCATAAAGTGGCCCAATTTTAATGTATGTATCTATGTATGTATATATTTTATAAATGACTAGTTTAATAACCACTCGCCTCCACATACTGTCGCAGTTCAAAAAAAAGCTAAGTTGGTACTAGTTTTTAAGCATAAGAATAGTAATAGTGTTGTGTTCACAGTTTCTAAGCAAATTAGCATTTCATTGGTTTAGTGCTTCTAGTGTACTGAATAGGCATATGTATATGTTTGTATGTTCCTATATAAATATTTCCACTTTAACGACTGAAAGTATGTAACATATGTTTTGAATATGTGTTCACCAGAAACCGCTTTAAAATAATAATAATTTAACGGTTAAAATTGGATTAATTTTTTTCATATTAAATCGTTACTTTGTGTTTTTTTTCGTAAAAAAAAATTTATTATTTTGGACTATTAAAAAAAAAAGGATTGTTTTCGGCTCATGGTGCTCGCTCTTTTTGTTTAAGTATACACTAGGTGAAGACTTGCGAAAAGAGCTATTCGGGTAGGTTCTGCGATTCACTTCCGAGTGAGTTTCAACCCCTGCTCCCCTGAATTCCAAGCGAACTTGACTCAAATTCACTCGGAAGTGAATTGCAGAACCTGCTGGATTATAACGAAGTAAATATTAGTTGCGTTCACTAACTCGCAGAAGTTGCAAGAATTTACAGGATTTTAACACAAAGCGTTCCCGTACTCGATTCTCTGACAAAGTAGGGGAAAAATGGGAGAGTAAAATCGGTCCTCTCTTTGTCAGAAATTGCAAGACACGAAAAAATTTTGCTGGTAAAATCTGGTGAAGTGTAAAACCATCAAATGATTTCAAATTAAAATAAGCAAAACCAAAAGTACATCTGCTTTTTCAACTTATTAAATATATCCTGGCGAAGATATATCAGTTTTTGTATGTATTTTTGTTAATTTGCTGTAGTATTTCAGCAAAATTTAGAAGATCGCCAAATGATAAAAAAAAAACTGCTCTGTAAACAAAAAATGGTGTTCCCCTTATTTTTGATTTTCCTCTCTTTCTCTGAGAGCTATTGTGGTTTTTGACAGTTTTACGGGTCCTATCCAGAAAAGTTAAGGAACGAAACTATTAGGAAACGGAAAGTTGTAAGGCATTTAAAAAAAAAAATTAGGGCTGTGCGATTAATTGATTACTCAAAATTTTAATTAATCATAAAGTAAATAACTCAATTATTCGATTAATTGGAAATTATGATTACTCAAAAGTTCAGTTACTCGAGTAATCAAGATTTTTGATTAACCAAAAACAAAAATATTTGAGTAAAATGCTTTATGATTAATCAACATTTCGAGTAAAATGAGTAATCAACATTTCAACTCTTTACATATGTATAAAGTAGTTAAAGTTCCTTGATACTTTGAAAACAACGTTTCTGTTTTCAAAAATTAAAAAAAAAAATTTTTCATACACAGAATGTAAAAAAGAAAATAAGCATTTTCCAAAGCAAACTCTATTACGAGCAAAATTATTTTTTTTGAGTAATCATATTTCAAGTAACTCGATTAATCATCGTTTTGAGTAATCAAAATTTTGATTACTCGAGTAATTGATTAACCGAATAATTGATTAACCAACTTGCTCGAGTAATCGAATAATCGCACAGCCCTAAAAAAAATGAAAAAATATATAAATTGTATATTCTTAAAAAATATATATGCTCTTATTTTTTGTTTCCTTTGCCACTAACATACCAACCGAAGCATTGATTTGTACAACCAAATCCTTAAGAAGCTTTAACATGTACATATATGCGCTTGTGCTTGTCTGTGTTCGCTAACTTCGCTGTTGCTCCTCATAAAATTGTTCGTTAATACGGTGTTTACATGCGGCGATTTTACAGGCAACTTTTGCGGAAAGCAACAATGGCCTGGTGTAAACGGCCTTTCAACTAATCGCTTTCAATGAGTTGGTCGGCTGCCTACTTTCGTTCAACTTTTGGTTCAACTAATCGCCCGTGAAAGTTGAATCATGTAAATTCCCTATTAGATTCCATTAATCGCCTCTAAAATCGCTTCATGCTTTTAGGAAACAACAACTCAGCTATGGCGGATTCTTTACAACAACTTTTCTGCATATCTTACTTCAAAAAACCTGTTTTCAAACTTTATTAGGTTATAGTTGACATACATGAAATACAAAATATTATTTTTAATTCGTCTACTATTGCAAATGTTGAGTTAAAAAATTAAATGTACTTAATAGTAAAATGTAAGCAGAATTTTTATTATATATGTATGTATTTAATCTTCTCGTACTATAAATGCACCTAAGAAAATCAGTTCCAAGCTTCATAATAATCTCTTTTTTTTTGTATAAATAAGTACTCGTACATAGCACAATCTCTTCAAGCATCTATCTCTCATTAGTGTGATATGTTTTCTCAGCTCTCGCTACTTATCGAAGTACCTACGAATCAATGGTAAACTAGGTATAGCACAAAAATATTTTGAATCATAACGCCATTTAGAATAGCAGTGTGGTTGTTGTTGTAGCGGTTGTCGGTGTGGTAGCCATTCCGAATTGATTTGAATGCTGTAACGGCGATTTAAGTTGTTCAACAATTATCACACCATTCTCATCCAGGCTGGGATTCAATAATAAATTCTCGACCTGCTCATCGGAGAGCAGCTCTTTGGGCTCTGATAACCTGAAATGTAATTTTCAGTTGTGGTTTACAGTTACAATACAATAGGTACATAAAAAAGAGTACATAAAAAATTTGTACTGCGATAGAATTGCATTTTAGTTAGTATGTACATAGTATATAAATTCCATTTAATTCATATTTGTGTGCATTTTAAATTGTATGTAAAAATTTGCAATGCAATAGTAAATCTACATAATATAGTGGTTATATGTGAGTGTATATATGATAACATTGTGCGGTCAATTTATTTGATATATAAAATTGGTCATATGTTGTCTACAAATTTGAACAGCAAACAACTTAAACAGTAACAATCTCTTTCTTTTAAACATTCAACAATTTGTACCCGTAGGTTAGTAGTACATACACATATGTATGTATGTTACCTTTTAAAGTGCATGTGTGTGTATGTATATACCAGGAGTGGGCAAGGCCGAGGCCGAAAAGAGCCATATTTAAATTCTAAAGGCTACAAAGAGCCACAAAAAAAAACTAAAACAAAACTTATTTTTAAATAAAATTAAGAAATGAAAACCATTAATTTTATTATCATTATAATGTGCGTAAGATATATATTAAAGAAAATTTAAAAGATTCTTTGGCCAAATTTTCAAAATCTGGTTTTACGTCAGTTAAAGCGGCTCGTAACAGTTCTGTTAAATTTTGGTTAGTCGTTTCTCCTCTGTGCCAACTGACGCCAATTGGAAACGCCAAGTCCTTCTCCACCTGATCTTTCCATCGTAGTGGGGGCCTCCCTCTTCCTCTGCTACCACCAGCGGGTTCCGAGTTGAATACTTTCAGAGCTGGAGCGTCGGTGTCCATTGGAACGATATGACCAAGCCAGCGGAGCCGCTGTATTTTAATTCGCTGCACTATGTCCATATCGTTGTCAAGCTCATACAGCTCATCGTTCCATCGTCTGCGGTACTCGCCGTCGCCAACGCGTAAAGGCCAGTAAATCTTCCGCAAAATCTTTCTCTCAAACACTCCAAGAGCCGCCTCATCGGATGTTGTCATTGCCCATGCTTCTGCGCCATATACCAGCACGGGCATGATGAGTGACTTATAGAGCGTGGTTTTCGTCCGTCGAGAGAGGACTTTACTCCTGAATTGCCTACTCAGTCCAAAGTAGCACTTGTTGGCAAGAGTGATTCTGCGTTGGATTTCAATGCTGACATTATTATCGGTGTTAATGCTGGTTCCCAAGTAAACGAAATTCTCTACTTTCTCGAAATTGTAACTGTCAACAGTGACGTGGGTGCCAAGACGCGCATGTGCTGACTGTTTGCTTGATGACAGGAGATACTTCGTCTTGTCCTCGTTTACCACCAGACCCATTCGCTTTGCTTCCCTATCCAACTTGGAGAAGGCAGAACAGACTTCGCGGTTTTTGTTACCGATGATGTCGATGTCATCGGCATAAGCCAGCAATTGCACGCTCTTGTAGTAAATTGTTCCTGAGCGGTTCAGTTCTGCAGCTCTTATTATCTTCTCCAACATCATATTAAAGAAGTCACATGAAAGGCAGTCGCCCTGTCTGAAACCCCGTTTTGTGGCGAACGGCTCGGAGAGGTCCTTCCCAATTCTGATGGAGCTGGTGGTATTGCTCAACGTCATTTTACACAGCCGTATGAGCTTTGAGGGGATGCCAAATTCAGACATAGCGGCGTATAGGCAACTCCTTTTAGTGCTGTCAAAAGCGGCTTTAAAGTCGACAAATAGGTGGTGAGTGTCGATCCTTTTCTCGCGGGTCTTTTCCAAGATTTGGCGTATTGTGAATACCTGGTCTATGGTGGATTTGCCAGGTCAAAAGACACACTTATAAGGCCCAATCAGTTCATTGACGGTGGGCTTCAGTCTTTCACACAATACGCTCGATAAGACCTTGTAACCTATGCTTAGAAGGCTGATCCCGCGGTAGTTGGCGCGAATGGCGGGGTCACCTTTCTTGTGGATTGGGCAGAGCACACTTAAATTCCAGTCGTCGGGCATGCGTTCACCTGACCATATTCTGCACAAGAGTTGATGCATGCACCTTATCAACTCCTCGCCGCCGTACTTGAATAGTTCTGGCAGGCTGTCAGCTCCCGCGGCTTTGTTGTTTTTCAGCCGCGTTATTGCCATACGTACCTCTTCATAGTCAGGCGGTGGAACGTCGACTCCGTCATCATCGACTGCGGGCTCGGATTCTTCTTCTCCACAACTTTCCGTGCTGCTACCATTTAGTAGCGTAGAAAAGTGTTCCCTCCATAATTTAAGTACGTTCTGAACATCGGTAACTAGGTCGTCATTGTTGTGCTTACAGAAGTACGGCCTGGTTTTGAAATTTTCCGTAAGTCGCCTAGCTCTCTGGTAAAATTTTCGGGAATTCTTCCTGTCGGCCACGTATTTCGGCCTCTCTCTTCGTATTGCGGCAAATACGTCTCGCTTCCCTCTTCAGACGCCTATAACGGTCCGACATGGCTCGCGTTGCGCCCGATCGCAGTGTGGCCCTATAGGCGGCCACCAGTTGTTCTTTCGGGCTAGCTGAAATCCGACTACTTCTTCGGGGGCGGCACTTAATAAGCGGGATATGTGGTTCCACTGCTCGCATATGTCGGTTTGTTGAAGAGTGCTATCTGAGAGCAGGTATGAGAGTCGAGTAACGAATGCATTAGCTGTCTGCTGTGATTGCAGCTTTTCGACGTTAAGCTTCCCGTGCATATTTGGGCGCACATTTTTTGCTGCACAGAGGCGGGTGCGTATCTTGGCTGCAACAAGGTAGTGGTCCGAGTCGATGTTTGGCCTCGGAGTGTACGCACGTCCAAAACGCTGGAAGCATGCCTTCCGTCTATCACAACATGATCGATTTGATTTTTCCTTTTTTGTTCTGGAGACAGCCACGTAGCTTGATGGATCTTTTTATGCTTGAACCTAGTACTGCATACTACCATGTTTCGGGCCCCGGCGAAGTCGATCAGCCTCAGTTCGTTGTCGGACGTTTCGTCGTGGATGCTGAATTTTCCGGCGGTGTTTCTAAATATCCCTTCCTTGCCACCCTGGCATTGAAATCGCCAAGCACGATTTTGATATCGTGGCGGGGCAGCGCTCGTATGTGCGCTCCAAGCGCTCATAGAAGATATCCTTGGATACCTCATCCTTCTTTTCTCTTCTTCAATTAATTCCAAACATTTGAAAGCTACTCGGCTGAAAAAGCTGGGCTCAAATTGTATAAAGAATAAAAAAACAACACAATGGAAAAGAATGTCCAACAAAGAAATATGTATTTTAAAAAGTAAAACGAGCCAAAATGTTCTAAACAAAGAGAAAGCAAAAAGAGTCGCACTTTGCTAAGCAAAGGGCTGCATTTGGCTCAAAGAGCCGCGTTTGCCCACCGTTGGTATATGTATAAAAACTTGCCAATTTCAACATTCTACCTTTTGCGATTCAGTATTGTCAGATATTGCTTTCAAATTTGCTAACAACTTTTTTAAGTTGCAAAGATTTTTAGATTCGCTTAAAAATACAAGCAATTTCTCTAATTCCACTAAATGCATTTGAAAATGTTTCTACAATACATAAGTATGTTTGTAAATTTGTAAACAAATGCCGTTACGCATGCACAAATTCGTCTGGTACATAAATGCTTGTTACACATTAATATAACGGTATATCGAAAAACAAATTTTGGCCGCAGTAATTTTTCAAATATTTCCTTCTAAAATGGCAAGCACTAGTTTTTCTTGATTTTTTAGCTCTTCAATGATAAATTCTTTTTGCATTTAAATCAATTGGGTGAAGCGATTCTGCAGTGTGCTCAGCAGTCCAGTCTTTTTTTGCAAAGCTCTACTAACAGTGCTGTTACTGGCAACGCCACTGCCTACTGACCTGGAGAAGAGGAAAAAATCACCAGCCGATGTTGTTTTACCACCGGCAACGCTCGTTGCACCCGCCGCCGCACTGCCTCCACTCTCCGCGTTCTCTGCATTCATCTCCGATTCGCTATTACGTCGCTCCAGTGTTTTCCCCACCTTCTGGAAACCGAAACTAAATACATCTTTCACCTTGTCACCTGCATCGATTAGGAGATCCAGACTTTGACGTCGTCCAGACATTTTCAGGCTGTTCGAACGCGACAACCACTGGCTCAGGCTCTGTTTCTTGTTGAGCTGATCTTCATGGAAGATCGTCGTGCAAGTGACTTTGCGCTTCGGCTCGTCCGATGAGGATGACGAGGAGTGATGCGATTGTGCATCTTCTGCAGCGCCACCTAGCTGATCGTGTAGCAGCGATTGATTTGAGTAACTAGAACTTGTGCTCTCCGAGTGCGATAAGCGTATCTCAGTCCACTGCTCGATGTCATCCTGCTCATCTGCATCGGCGCCGGTGCTTGAGCTGGCATCGTGTGCGCTACCGCTGCCACCGCCAGCGACGCTACTATTGCCACTCGTCTTCACCTCGTACGGTCCATGTAGGGGGGTGTGCCCGAAGAGACCGTCGCCGCTAGCGCTCGTACTTGCCGACTTGTGCATGCTGCCACCTGGGTGTTTCTTTGCCACAAAGAAAACAAGCAATTATTAATCACGCAAATATATAAAAAAAAAACGTGTAGCAATGAACTGTCCACTTACATCTCTCAGGTTGAGCGTAGGAAAGTCCTGTAGCAAATGTGGGCACTCATGCTCGTCGAAGCGGCGTTGTCGCACTGGACTGGACTGTGTGCTAAGTTTCGCGGGCAATTGCAAATACTCGTCCGGTGCGTCAATATCGCACGGAAAGTGTTGATAATTTTGCACTGCTGCTGCGGCATTGCTTGCAACGCGTAGCTCTGCCAAGAGCGTGTCGTTGAGCAGCTCACGTTTTTCCTGCCGCTGGCGGTGTATATCTTCAGAGATCTGCTCGAGGTTTTTCAGCGCCTCATTGTAAGTCATCTTGGCTTCGGTGACTTTGCTTTCTAGTTCATTAATTTTTTGCTTTTGTGCTTTTAAGAGGCCATTGTAGTTAGCTCGCGCCTCGTAGAAGGGCCTGCAAATGTGAATATACGCATTTTAGAAAAATTAGAAGTGAATGTTATAATAGGAAATTTTAATTTTACAAAAATTGATTGAAAATCAAAAATAGCAAATGGTTAAATTTGGAAGAAATAAGTGGTCATTGTTACGCGTGCCGAGCTCGTGAAATACTTACAGAATATTGCAACGGTGCTGATAAACCAAAGAATTCAATTCAAGTAAGTCTCGTCTAATGCTTAAACTAAAAGTTAAAAATTAAAATACTGAAAAATAAATTATACAAAAAAATTTAAGTAAAAACCAAGCTAGCGGTGAAAGGTGAGTACTTAGTGAAATGAAAAGGAAAGAAACAAAGTAACACTTAATCACTTTAATCAATTTAAGCTTCAACAAATTACGCTTATCACAGTACCAACAAAGTAGTGAGTGCTCTTCAACTCCAAATAAACAATAGCTTAACCCATGACGTACCATACGGTTAACCGAGGTCCAATAAAGAGTTGCAGCTTCTTTATCAAAAGATTTTTTTTCATACATTTCAAAAATTCAAGCAGTTCTTCGTGTGATATCATTAAGGAAACTACTCCACTATCTCCTGATGCAGAGCTCTGCTGAATCATTCATAGACGCAGCCAACCACCACCAGGTAGCAATGCACACAGCGGGCAAGAAGCATCATGGCAGAGTGAAATTTCATTCTGTGATCGCGCCTAAGCGAATCGCGAGCTATTTTAGTCGCCAATTTAAACTGCATCCTTCGGCCGATAAGGTCAAACGTTGAGTAATCAGACCAGTCTAGAATTATTAAACAAGGGGCTCTACAGAGTGGTTCTCTATCCCCGTTATTGTTAAACCTCCTGGATATCCAACGCGCACGATTGTAAGATATAGTGTCCGGCCGATTTTTTTTTGTTGTAACATCATACAAATTCCCCGAAGAGATATTGCGGATAGATTTCTTTCATTCTTCTATTATACAACCGCAATTGCCAACAAAGTACAGAGCCGCAACAAGGTTGCTTGTTGGTAGCCTTTGTGCAAAAAAACAAACATTGGCAACATACATACGCCCTGTGGTGATCACAATTGAATGCTCAACAAGCAATTTATGATCAGGGAGCATCTGAACAGACCGTTGTTGGAAGAAAAGCCTTCTCCCATCCGAGGCAAGTCAGCAGACATCACTTTAAATCCACGGACGAGATCAAGGCATACTTCAGTCAAACACTGAACCCGCCCAAGACCAAACCTGTTAAATCTGTTTATAACCAACCTAGCTCTGCCAGCAGCCGAAGTGAACTTAGTCACCTATGCAGACGATGGTATTATGGCGGTATTTGCTATAAGTTTACTACATACACATCTCGCTAACCTTGCCAACTTCTTCACTAGGCATTTTTGAACTTCTGCTGCAACATACTTCACCACATTTGTCCCACCTGGATCGTATTTAAACTAAAAGATATTCTGGTGGTCATGTCTGATAGCCAAAGAGGGGTCCTTACGTCGTAACTCGGCACAGTAGACTGAGTAACTTTTCTAACTACATAGAAATCAATCGGCCGGCCGGTAGTTAAGTCGTCAAGACCATGCGATACCCAGTGAAAAAGTTTAAAAACTAGCCAGAACACAAGTCCATATATGGCGAATAGCTGCTATGTTATCCGAACAGATTTTTGTGGGGAAGAACACTATCGAAGCGTTAACACCGCATGCTTCGAAGCATGTAGTACGAACTGAAAGGAAGTCATCGAGTCGTGCGTAAGTAGAGTATCTCGCATCGGTGCTCAATAATGTACAACAAGCGATTGACGAACGTATATCGACTTGAAGGAGTCGGCCTGTTGTTGGGTCACATAAAAATACATATTTATAATCAATTGTCTATCGTTTCAACTCCGTTCAATTAAAGCTCTATGCCTAACTAAATACTTATGGTAAAAGCCGGTAAGGAAAAATTTACTATATGTGCCCATCCCAGAACGTAATAATATGTATGTGTGTACGATTGTACGAGGGGAGGCTGAAAACTTTTGTGCCTAAGTAAAAACACCGAATATCATGTCATTAACATCATTACAACTTCAGAAATTGAGCCGTACGAAACTCGACTACAGAGCGGTCATCAAATTCCTCTCAAAGAACCCAACAAATATTTAGGTTAGAGAACGATTGAAAGCGATGCGAATTCCAATGTATTATCTAACGATTGGAGAAACTGTCGAGAACTATAGCATTCTCTACAAAAAGGGGACTTAGTTCTCGATATCGAGAAAAAAGTTAGATATCTAATTGTATTCTAACGTTAAATTCTTATAGGCTTCTAATATCAAGTGTTTTTCTAATCATTGCTCGTCTCTCCACCATAATATGCATTTTTACGTGACGAGTTGCTCGTTTACGACTGTTACGATTCGAGCCCTGACTTTAGATTCGAAAACTACATTAGAATTCTAATGTAAAATCAATCTAATTCTATTTGAAGGGATGTCTACAGTACATGGGGAGTCTGGAAACATTGGAGCCAAGAATTCAAGCATGGCAGTGAGTCGCTAGAAGATGATCCCAGCTCAAGGCATCAAAAAACTTCCGTTACCACTGTGATCAACTATCTAAACTAAAAGAACTACAATGGACGGAGACTATTATGCCACATTGTTGACAAAAGTGCGTCAGGTTGTTGTCGAGAAACTACGCGAGATGCATACAGTTTAAACCTGGCCCCCAGGGGGAAATAAACTCTGAGGACGAAGATTTTTGAGTCAAGAAGAAATCAGGGCGGTATTAGGTTATGATAAATGTAAAAAGTGCATTGAATTAGAGGGAGATTATACAGGATATCCTAGACCACCCGTCCACCCACTCTAAAATGCAGGGAAATGTTTTTTATTGAAAAAATTAAAAATATGACCTACCAAATCGGGGTTGCTGTGTGTATTTTTGGGTATTAGCGACTTCATCAAGCTACGTGGCTATCTATGGATCAAAAACAACAAAACCAAATCGATCATGTAGTGATAGACGGAATGCATGCTTCCAGTGTTTTAGACGTACATACACTCCGAGGTCCAAACATCGACACGGATAGTGATCTTGTTGCAGCCAAGATATGCATCCGCCTCCGTGCAGCAAAAAATGTGCGCCCAACAATGCAAGGAAAGCTTAACGTCGAAAAGCTGCAATCACAACAAAGGGCCAATACATTCACTACTCGACTCTCACACCTGCTCTCAGAGAGCACTTTTCAACAAACCGACATATGCGAGCAGTGCAAGAATGATAGAATACAAGATTGCGCCGATCAGAGAGGATTTTTGAGAATAACTTTTGTGTGACGTCACACTGGTGCAATTGCGAGAGAGAAATGCCTTTGTATTCTCTCAATCGTGCGAGCAGTGGAACAACATTTCCCGCTCATTAAGTACCGCCGCCAAAGAAGTAGTCGGATTTCAGCGAGTCCGAAAGAACAACTGGTACGATGAGAAGTGTCAGGAAACTGCAGAGAAAAAAGATGCCCTCTACAGGGCCACGCTGGGATCCGAGCCCCCAAACGATGATAACGGAGTCGATGTTCCTCTGCCTGACTATGACGAGGTACGAATAGCAATAACGCTTCTGTAAAACAATACAGTTGCTGGAGCTGACAGCCTGCCAGCTGAGCTATTCAAGTACCGTGGCGAGCAATTCCTGCATGCATCAACTGTTATGCAGAAGAAGATTAGCGACTTCCGGTTTCGACCGGAAGTGGGTTTAACTGACCGGATATCCATTTTTTTAAGTTAGACATCAATGTTGTTACCACAAATTTTCCATTTGGAATGGACATACGATTGAAACAATGGACTTCCGGTTGAAATCGGAAGTCGCTAATCTTCTAATTTTTCCTTGGCGTTATAACCGAAAAAGCGCATTTGGTCGAGTTCAACAAAGGACGCCTCTTCTGTGCCAACTGACGCAAATTGGAAATGCCAAGTGAAGCCAAATTCTTCTCCACCTGGTCTTTCCATCTCAATGACGAAAAGATAGAGCATTCCCGACTTGGTAGTTCATATATTTTTGTTTTCCAATAAAACCATTAGCACTCATTTCAGAAGTCCAGGACGAGTTAAAGTTTGAAGGTCGGTAATATCCCCAAAGATGGAGCGTCTCCGACTTGGTAGGCCATATTTTGCGTTTTTCGATTAAATTATTTCCCTTTGTTTTAGAGGGGGTATAGGACACCGTGTATAGAAAAATAAAATGTTTAAACATTTCTATCAGATATTTTAATACCATAGGCTCAAAATTTTTTAACCTCCCCTCGTATATGTCCTGCATATGCATGCGTGAGTCTTCGGGGGCATAATATTATACAATGATTTACAGTGCGGCTAAAATTGTGCGATTAAAAACTCACCTCGACGCACGTATAGCCTGCTTAAGTTGTCCCTGTAATTTGCCCACTCGATTGTTGGCCACTTCCAACTTCAGTTGACACATTTTCAAAGTATTTCGTGCATCCGTTACATCCACCTGAGATTGATTCACCCTGGCTGCGCAGGGAAATAGTAAAAAGGAACGAAAATAGCATTACATGCTTCATGGTATTTGCAATATGTATTTTGTTGCTGTTCTTACTGGTGGCATGACTGAGCATTTCTTGGCAGGCGGTATCCAGTGTTGCCTTTTCACCCAAACCCTGTTCCGCCAAATATACCATTTCCTTGGCAGCGCTGTGTATCGATTTAGCTTTTTCGTAATTTACCGCCGCTTGTTGTGTTTCCTTGGCCAACTAAAAAAAATCGCACACATTTTCCAGGTGTTACATATTTAAATAGAGTTATATTTCAGAAAATATGAAAATATGATTACAATAGAAGTGAAAAGAAGACATTTCAACGGTACTCACTTGCGCTGCATAGATACGCGACTCGTAATAGGGCTTGGCCGCCTCAATTGAGTTACCCAATTTGTGTGCAGCCTGTTTGATGCGCACCTCACTCTCGGCCAATATGCGCTTGAAATCACATTTTGCCTCCTAGTGAAGAAATGTAGAAAAACAATGTATATGGATGTTGGATATTTTTTTATTACAAAATGCTTTTATAACTAAAATAAATGGAAACAATAAGTTTGTTGTTTTTTTTAAGGTACACTTTTTCGCGTGGATTGGCATCGTACACCTGGTAGATTTCGAAATAATTTTCATTGTTTTTTGTTTGTGTTTGAAAAATATTTATAGGAATACTCGGTGGCAGACTGATAAGCGTCTTAACTAAAAAGAAGAGGCAATATTTCGGGAAAATAAAATTTCAATTTGCAGAGAGGTGCCCTTCTGCCACAATCCACTTCATACATGATTCAACTTTCACAGGCGATTAGTTGAATCAAAAGTTAAACGAAAGAAGTCAGCTGGCCAACTTCATTGAAAGCGATTAGTTGAAAGGCCGCTAACATGTCGGGAATACTCGCACATCGACCTATGAAGATCTACTATTGTGCTAAACCCTAATTTTAATTACCCCAACCTTGGGTTATTTCGGAAGTTAAGCACTTCGGACACTACCATGTTCTAATTTTTGGATGGAGAAGACAAAGTTACCCAAAGTGCATAAGTCTGATATTCGTAATACGTGAGCAGCCACGTAGAATATGCTCTGGGGTTTCCTCCACCAGCCAACAAAACCTGCAGTCCGTCTCTAGATTAAGCCTCATTTATTCAAATGATACCTCAACTTGCAGTGTCCTGTCAGTTAGCCAGTAGGTAGGTAGGTTCAAAGAGTCTTTCGGCGATCTCTTGATTGCCTTATTCCCTCTTCCGCCAGAGGGCAGAAATCTGAGATTCTTCGCAGCTCCCAAGTAATTCTGCAGGGTGTCCTTTAGATGTACCGCAGAAAGGCTCGTGACGATGCCAGTGCATCTCCGCTCAACGCTTTGTGAGATAGTCAGTCCTTTCGTTGCCTTAGAACCCTTCATGTCCCGGAACCCACCACAGCGTTACGCTATTGTGGCCCCCAGGTGGTTCGAATGAGTATTACAGCGGTCCACACAGTCTTGAGGCCGTTTAAAAAAGTCTAAAGCTAAGCGTACATGATAGAGAAAAAAACCCGAGACTTAGAACAAAATTTCGCTAGAGACGTGTAAACACTCAATAGAGTTCTACGAGAGACTCACCTACACAGTCTACGTGAGAGTTATTTAGCGAGACTTTTTCGCCGTGTATAGATCGAAAACTCTACGACAATTCTATACTCTATTTGGCAAGCTAAATAGAGTTTTTTCTCTACGGAGACGTATGGTACAGTCTTGACTATGGATTTCATCACAGTTTGGTAAATTTTGAAATGGCTAAGACATTAAATCGTTTATTCGGTACAATCATACCATTTGAGGCAGATTTAAAACGTAGCAAAATGACTTATCGGAAAATTTTCTCTTATTTTCATAGGCTTTTCCAATGGCCTCTCTCCATTGGAAAGAGCCATAACCATTGATTAAAACATAAGGGGTATCACCAAATTGAACAAATGGCTTGGCACTCTGGCAACAGTCGTTGCTTGAGGTGAGGTCCAAAAGTACACATAGTACCGAAGAGAGAGGTTGCGATGTTTAATTGTTAGGTACATTTGTCTACTTTTATGTAAAACTTTTTTCGCCAAATGAGTACAGTTTAAAAATTTAATTCTTGTCCATAATGCGAAAATGTATTTCATGACGTCAACAAATAGGTGAAAGCTGTCAAATCGACGAAGAGTTAGCGCTACGCTGATGGCGCCAACTATATTTTCTACATCTTTGATACAAATACATATGTATACACATACAACAAACGTTGACCCATGTACACAGCTTGTAGATACGTGATAGAGAAAAGAAAAAAATAGTTTTGATCAAAAAGTCCAAAAATTAAACATAACAACTTTTATTGAAAGTGAGATCAGAATTGCATATTTTTGTTAAGGAATAAAAGTTTATCAACGATTTTTGGCTTCAAGCAGCGTCTGGGCTCTGAAATTATTTGCCCTGCTTTGCTAAATAACCTTTCCGACTCACAAGATGAAACACGTACCGCCGTCTTTTACTCTTACTGAATATTTATGTATGAGTGAAAACTATCGATAGTGCTTACAAAACCATCGATGTTTTCGATAGTTAAAAACCATCGATACTATCGATAGTTTTCCAGCACTACTTTGCACTTTAATAAGTGTTTGTTCATGTCGAGGTAAGTGTTTTAATTGATATCAAAAAGTATAGACATATGTATAGGCGTTTCCAGCGGAAAATAATAATAATAATAGATTGGCGCTTACACATATGCAAGTGTTTGGCCGAGCTTCTCCTCCGATTTGTGGCGTGCGGCTTGATGTTGTCACACAAGAGGAGGGACCTACAGTTTTACGCCGACTCCGAATGGCGATTGTATTTTTATGAGAAGCTGTTTTTCATGGCAAAAATACACTCGGAGGTTTGCCATTGCCTGCCGAGGGACGACCGCTGTTAAGAAACATTTTTTTTGCGATGTTGCTTTGACCACGGCTTGAACCCAGGCCCTGCGGAGTGGAAGCGCGCATTGCTTACCACTACATACACCACAGCGGCTGCCAAAAATACTCAATAAAAAATATGTCGCCCCTGCTGGACGGTAAAAGTAGAAATAAACTTAAATGAACCGAAAAGCGCCGACGGTAAAAACACTACCGCCACAATTATATGCCATTCCATAGGTCTTTGGGAGCTTTAATTTTGACAGCGGTTAACCGTCAACCGCTATACCATGGACCGCTGCAGTTCTGGGTAGAGCTTTAAATATTTCAAACATTAGTACTAGGGAATCCAATCCCGCAAGAAATCATCAAACCCGCGTCTCTGCAGTTATGTATATTAAAATTTGATATGTAAAAAAAAGAGTTGATTTAATTTTTTTTTCTATGGATACGTTTTCGAGATATTTTCATTTGCCCTATTTTATATTAAGATTGTTAAATTGGTTCGTAAGATATACGTGATTAAAAGGAACCAATTTTTGCTTTAAACTGAATAACGGTTAATTGAAAATATCTTGAAAACTTATCCATAGAATAAAAAATTAAGTCGATTTTCGAAATCAGCGAACAATTCTTTATAGGAATTGGATAGTGGCATCCATTGAAAATTTTTGCTGTAAACTGGTGCTATTATTTTTATGGCAAATTTGCGTATACTATTTTGTAATGAAACAAATCGATACTCACATCGAGTTCCACTTCATATTTGTTGATATTGTCTGTTGCTGTGTTCAGTTTCTCTAGTTCAACCTGAAAAATATGCAAAAGAAATATTAATGTATTGGAGTTTCCGTTTCCTTTGGCATGCATGCATGTATGTATGTGAATATATACATATAAACGCAGGACATATATATAAGTAAATATACAAATAATGTTACGTAGTTAAAATGTCGTGGGCATAAATAAATATAATATAATATAATATATAATATATATATATAATATATTATGCTTTGTGGACGCAATTTTAAGGTGTCGCCTACGTAACAGTGGGCGAGGGAAGTGAGTGGGCGTTGGCTTGCTTTTTATCCTGTCAACGCAGAAAAAAGTGCCTTTCAAATAGTGGATATGTAATTGCTTAGTTGTATGTATTGTCATAATGTTTGTTTTGGACGTCAACCTGTCCTATATTTATCTGGTAAGACTGATAGTTATTTTCCTTGCAAATTTACTCATATTCGCTTTTGCTTAGCAACTACATGTCGTACCTTCGCTGCAAGGGTGTCATAATAAAAAAAATATTTCAAGTGTTCTTATTCAAGTTCGGAGATCTTTGTGGCAAGTATTTAACACCAGGGCTCGAATCGTAACATCCGTTCACGGGCCCAGACACATACGAAAAAAAAATTACGTGATACGTCAGTCGTATATGCTGATTGTACGTTGATGTATGTCATAATCCGAAAAACTTGTTTTTACGTGATGAGTAATACGATAGTAAGTAGAGATGAAAATAAAGAGTCAAACCTAAAAATAAAACTGAAGATTAAAATGTGTTATATCATCTTAACTTTAACCCACCTCACATCACCTTATCTCACCTCAACTCGCCTCACCTCTTAACTCATATCACCTCACCTTTACTAATTTAAACTCCCCTCCACGCGCTTGAACCACCTCAATTTATTTCACCTCTTCTCAACTCTTCTATTAACTCAACTTAACTCACCTGAGCTCAACTCGCCTCTCCTAAACTCACCTCAACTCGGAGAAACCCAGCTCACCTTATATTACCTCACCTCAGCTAAACTCACCTTAACTCACCCCATCTCATATCACCCCACTTTAATTCACGTCAAAAAGATTTGACCTCAACTCAACACACCTCAACTTTGTGTTTTCACTTTTACCACATGAGCGTATGTAAACACTAAACTTAAAAGCCATTTTTCTCGAGTTTTGGATTTTTGGAATTATGACACTCTTGCAGCAAAGGTACATATACTGGCGTATAACAAGAAAATATCACTTTTTTTATCAAAGTAAGGAGCCAATGTGCGACTTTGTCTTTTTGGGTAACATTTTAGGATTGCACTTTTTATTTTGAAGTCATCATTTACTTTTGTTCAATGCGAAAAACTAAAATGTTTAAAACCTTCCTTTTTCGCATTTTTTATTTTTCGGGTTAGGATGTTTTTATGCCAAATATATTTGTCCCTTAATTTCTACCGGCAAATGACATCAGAAACGCAAAACAAGCATTGAAAGTGTTACTAACACATAACACTAAAATCTAAAATACAAAAATAAGTATGTACGTACATACATACTCGTATGTTTGTATAAAGAAAGAAACTTGCGTTTATGGCCAGTTAAATACGGCAAACTGCCAAGAGCTACGCACGGGTAAAGTTAAGTAAATGGGCTATATAAATTTTGAAATATGCACTACATTGGACTACATCATCATACGTATGTACTTATGTATGCACATACATACATATGTACTTACGCTCAAAAGTTGGTACATTTTACTAACAGGAAAAATAAATATGTAAAACAAATGATATGTTGGCATACATAAGTATTTGTGTAGGTATGTATGTATAAATGCATGTACGTTTTATTTCTAAATACATATGTATGTATGTATGTGCTTACATACATAGATGCATATGAAGTATACATATGCGTATGTATGTACATTATGCTCGATATGTATGTAGGTGCAAATTCATTCATTCACATTCCTCTGCATGCAAGTTTTTCTTATTTATTTTCCCTCTCATGGGTCATTGTCAGATAAGACAAAATCCGTTTATGACCGTCAAATCTTGTGCAAATGCACACCAAGGGAATCGTAGAAATTACAATTCTTAGCAATTAATTTTTATTTTTATGCTCATCTAAATTTGTTTTTTCTTGGTTTTTTTTTTACTTGCCTGCACTCTGGGGTCCACCGGGGTATTGCTTTCCGTTGACATAGCGTTATTGATTTATTTCAGTGCTTTAAGGCTATTCTTTTATTTTTTTCACAACGTGTTTAACGTTTACACTTTTCACTTCTTTTACAGTGATAAATTGTATACTAAAAATCTAATAGCAATATATTTTTAAATATGTACTAAATAATTTTGAAAAATACTGTCGTAATATTATATGTATGTATGTATACAACTTTGGTAGTAGTAGCTGCGAAAAAATCAGCAATATATATTATTTTTGTGTAGCTCAGCACCGCGCAGCAGACTTACGAACAATTCTCTGGGAATATGCTATCTATTCTTGTGTTTTAAGCGAATATTTAAATTCTCCAATACATTTTTTCAATATTTTTCTCCGTTTTCCAAACACTTGCTCTATTTATTTTTTGCTTCATTTTGATTTTTCACCGAATTTTGCAATTTCATTTTCACTGCTCTGGTTGCTGGTTGGCTGATTGACTTGCTTGGCTAGTTCGCTCGTCTTGTCTTGACATTGTCTGCCGCTCGCGACGGATTTTCACCACACACTACCAACGATGAGTGTTACCTTAAAGTTGTTGACCGTTTTTAAAAGTATTCGTAGCTGTGTCGTCGCTTTGGCTGCGGCTGTGGCCTTTATTTTTGGGTGGCGACAGCACTTAAAAGCTCCCACCACAATTTACTGTTATTTAACTCGTTGCGGATTTGACTAGGCCCAGAGCCGGCCATGTAGTCGTGCTATCCGCTGAGCGTCAAGCTGAGTAAAATATGCGTGAAAAAGGTTAGCACTCTGGAAATATGCTCATTCACTTGCTGGCTAGTTATTGTTTTGGGGCAAAGTTGTTGTTGCGTTGCATTGCAGGGTTTGTGAAAACTCTCATTGGTAGTTTCTTTGCTTTTCCCAACTTTGTCGGAATCTCAGAGCATATACAAATATACATATGCATGTTTTTTCTATGTATGTATCTTAGTTCTTGTTGAGCGACGTGCTCTCTACTCATTATGTCTTACTGACAGGTGCTGTTTTGTTATTGTTTATATTTCGTTAACTTGTCAATAAGTGAGGGGATATTTTTGCTCGGTGGGATTTTATTTATCAAACTTTTATTATAGCTGGCGCAAATCGTACAGCACGACTCAAAAAGTTGCACTGAAATATAAAAAAAAACAACGCTCTTATATAAATTATTTTATTTTAACTATAGGCATGGCTAATCACCTTTTTATATGCTCATACCCCGAGATTGAAAAATTAAATATTTTTTCACTTTCATAAGTTTTTATTAATATTTCTTAACAATTTCCTACGGCTGGCTTAGGCACTATGATGTATGTAAGTAAGTCACTCAACACTTTATGCATAAACTAGAGATGTTACCGATTTTTTCTCAATTTGGGCGAAGTTGACCTAATTTCAGTAAAATTTTTTCGAAGAAAAACTAAATAAGTTAGATGTGAAATCAAGAATGGGTCCGAAATCGAGATAGTGTGAATGCTTGCATAACATTAAACATCTAAGTAAATACTGATAAGAAAAGCAGACCGATGATGTCCATATTGGACCCATAGGAAACTCAACATAATTATCGGTACATTTTTAATGCTTTGAGGACGAGCAACACTTTTAACTCGACGAAGCCTACCTGAAAGACAGATCTCTGGAAACTTCCTTGCATACTATCGTTTGCCCTTGACGATTTTTTATTTTTTTTTGGAACGTAGTCACATGTCGAAAAGTGCATCTGATTTTCGAGAGATCTTTTATCTATTCAATTTAAAGGCTTTACAAACAAAAAACAAAAAAAAATCAATATTGCATTCTCATCAGACCCTTTATTAAAAAAATAATCTTTAGTGGAGTTGGTTGCAAACTTTGTTATTTCCATCTTACAACGTAATATTAACATCCAATAATGCTCAAAATTATAAAATTCAATTGAGGGATTCACAACGGTGTCGTAAGTGTCGTATTGTTGTATGACGTAAACTTAAAAAGCTTGAATAAATGTTTAGAAAACCTGAAACCACATCCAACTATTTTTTAACACTGCGAAAATTCATAATATGACTTTGATGGTAATTTGTGAACCTCCGTAATATACTTTTTAGGCGTTTACAGTTTACGACGTACAACAATATGACACTTACTACACTGTTGTGAATACCACAAAGATCTATTCTTAGCCTCTATTAACTTTTTTATAAAAGGTTTAAGTTAAAAAAAAATAAGCAACTCGTCAAAAAAAAAGTGTATTTATCGTACAAATTCCACAAACTCATGCACCGTGGACATATTTTGTATCCCAACAATGTAATCTTTATTTACGGGTACCTATTGCAAGAAATAGATTTTTGTTTTTTAAATTTATTGTACAACCATAATAATATATGTTATAGTTTCAAATAATGTCACAGAAGACAAGTTATTTTTTTATAAAAAAAAGTAGATATAAAAAAGCAAAAAAAGATAAATAAAAAAACAAGAAATATATTTTTTTGAAACCACTTTAGGATTATTTTTTGTTTAAAGTAACAAGGCTTTTTTTGGTAAAAGAGAATCCGCATAAAAATAAAAAAAAATAAAACATTTTTTAACAATAAAATAAAAAACAAAATCAACAAGAATATATATTAAAACTGCAAGAAAAACATTAATAATATAAACATACATACTATATACTACTCCATCCAAATTTTAATTCCATTGACGAATAAATTTGAACACGTATCACAATTTTCATTATTTTTAATTTTATTGCAACTGCATATTTAGTTAAGAATAGAAAGGTAATTTTAGTTGAAAATACGATTTTTTTGACCGAAGAAGCAAAACCGCGTATGTACCAAAAATGCCATATAATTATTCCTTTCCCTGACTTTGTACTATTCCAAACCCTATTTCAAAAATTTTACAAAAAATAATCTTTTCTTGCTAAAAGTTTTCGCTAAATTTCAAATGCGAGTAATCTAGCATTAATAATAAAAATATTTTGGTGCTTACGCTAAGTGTTTGGCCGAACTTCTCCTGCATCTTGATGTTGTAACACAAATGGAGGGACCTACTGTTTTACGCCGTTTGCGAACGCCAAATGGATTATAACAGAAGCTTTTTCATTGCAGAAAACTTCGGCAGTTTTTTTTGCCGAAGTTAAATATTGCCGCTTAATCGGCAAACCAAAGCCGAACAATCGGTCGTAATTTGGGGCCAAACATCCTTTTTTTACTTTAAAAAGTTTTATTTTTGGGCTAAAAGCTCTAAGTCTAAACATAGTCTAACGAAATTTCCCACCTTGAGTAGAAATCACTTCGACCGTGCGAATGTACTAACAGTCATGCGCACATATACACACCCACATCCATACATATGTATGTATGTATGTTCCCAGCAAAAACTTTGATTGTTTAGTAATCGCTTACTTTTTGTATCGACGGAGTAGCGCATTACAATACGCCTCAAGACACAATTTTTAACTTTCTCGTTTACCCACTGCATTACAGGCAATGCAGTTTACAGGTAATGCAGTGAGAAAGCATTTTTACACTTTCTCGCTTACCTCTAATGACATGCCCACGTTAAAGTAATACGTTCTGTAAACTAGAAGGTGAGTGGTGAATCTCGATTGGGAAGCACTTTTCGAAATTCACCACATACCTTCTAGTTTACAGAACGCATTACTTTAACCTGGGCATGTCATTGGAGGTAAGCGAGAAAGCGTAAAAATTATTTTCCACACTTGTATGTGTTAAAAAATAAAAATAAAAAGAGAAAACAGATACTTTGTTTTGGGATGGGAAAATATTAAAAAATTTGTGTAGATACTAGGTTTTAGATGTGTCGTCTCTTCGAATATCTTGCAGCTATCAACAACTAGGCCTAGTTAAAAGGTGCGTCTAAGCATAGTATATCCCAAATTATAAAAACCCAATTTTCCGAGAAAATGTTAGTTACTGTGTTTTGGAATGAAGCAGCCGCTTCTTCTTAAAGTGTATTATAATGGGTTACTCCATCGATGCAAAAAGTAAGCGCTTGCCAAAACAAGAAAACTTTTTGCTGGGTTCCGTGTTTAAAGCGAAACATTGACACAAACGTATCCATACGCACAATGATGTTGAAAATGAAAACAAAAAACATTGGTAGAAATGTCAAAAGCCCCAACAAACCATACCAATACTCACACACGCATATGATAAAAACTGGCCAACGCTATGGAGAAGAGCGTTAGAGCGCCGCGATATTCTATTATTCTCACACATGCCCAATGCTGATGTGAGGATGGAGCATGGAGCGCGCTAAACAGCCCCCATGGTCTCAAAATAAAAACGCTTCACGCTGCAGAAGCGATAGCAGCAAAGACCATAGGCAAGGCGTGAGTGTACTACACGCAAACAAACTTTTATGCCGGTTCTCTGGCTGGTGTATCTCTGCTTGGAGCATGTGCTTGTATGAGCGACCAAGAACGAGTATCTGTTGTTTAGGTAAAAGCGTAGTCGCTGTGGGTTTCATTCATGAGTTGGTGGGGGCAATGGGCGAGGAGCAAGGAAAAGCAACGCAGCGAGTACTAAAAAACTGAAACGAGGACTGCGACCAGTAGCAGAAGCAGAGCAACAGCGTCGAACACAGAGCAAATAGTGCACTTTTTAGGGTAGAATGAACAGTCTTTATTTTCAACTCGTCGTTAACGGATGCAAGCGCGGAAAAAATACAAAGCGTGTTTGGAACGCAACGGAGAACCGTAAAGCATTTTTTTTAACAATTGTGATGGGCATAAAGATGTGAGGTGTGTGTGGGTTTTTTTGTGTACTGACTACTGCTGGTGGAGTGTTTTTTCGTTGTTTATTGGAGCTCTACAAAGAGGTACTAAGAAAAACTGCTCAAAAGCGTTGGCTTACACAAATGTTTGCTTAATTTTTTTCAAAGTAGCTTCGAATAGTTTTGTTTGATTGCTGATTTATTTTGTGAAGTTTTCTTCGTTCCTTCATGCTCCTTATTCGCTTTTGATATCTTGCTGTGTTTTTGAAGTACACACACAATTTTTGGTGCTTCATTTGGGTGTTCAAGTCCACAGCGAGTGACGGTTGTATCCGTGAAAATGTATGGGTGTGCCTGCAAAGGTGTACATATACATACATATATATATGTTCCGGGGCTGAGTTTCTTCGAATGCATTTGAGACGAACCGCTTGTAAAAAGCAAAAATTCAAACTTGTGATAACAGTAAATATGTATTATACTCGAAAATGTGCATGACAAGCCAAAAATAAGAAGAAAATTTCTGGGTGGAAAGTTTGTGAAGAATACAATGTTGCCCTGAAAGGAAGAAATCGCGAGTCTAGTAACACTGACCAATAGATTGCAAATTTTGTTTCGCGCTTTAAAAATCGCAAGAGAAAATCGAAAATATGAACAGATTGTGTAAAGCAAAATTAAGAAACATGAAAAATCAATAGAAAAAACTTGTTCGAAGAAAAAAATCTTAACACAAATGAAGAGCATTCAAAGTCGAATTGTACTGTAATTAGTAGGCTGTTGAGTCCAACTAAATAGCGTGAAAACGGTTAGATAATCGCAACTTTTTGCGGGTGCATTGCAACTAAAAAGCAAAACAAGATACTAAATCTTACAAACAAATAAACATGTTAGCAAACCAAGTGCGAGTACAAACACGCAAATGCAAGCGAAACAATAAAAGAAAACAACAAATTAGATAGAACCAAAGAGCAAGCCGCTGGAGTTGTGTAGAAAGCGCATGAGGTAATCGTAAAAAAGCTACATATGCACACTACCTATACACATACCTATGTATAATATATGTACAACATAAATTAAGCTAAGCCAATGTAAAATTAACAACAACATAAAAATCGTTAATAAATGTGTACATACAAAAATAGTACATTACAAAAATAAGAAAATGAAATAAGTGTTTTGGCATAGTAGGAACGTGCGATAGCAACAAAAGCCACAGTAAAATAAAACAAAACAAAAATGAAAAAATAAACATAGAAAACATTAAGAAAAATACATTGACGTTATTTAAACCGCATGTGTTGTGCAGTGTTCTTTCACATACAAAAACATAAAAATAAAAAGAAGCAACGTAGTACTTTTATTTTATTTTTTTTTAAAGCGTATTTCTTGAAAAAACAATAAAACAAACCATTGGCGCTTACAAAGAAGACGTACTCAGCATACAATACGAGTATTGTCTTTGTGCCTCCTATTCATATGCAGCCAGCGACGCTTGAAACATTCATTTTATTGGAGCTTCTTCCTATTTTACCCGCATATGTATGTTTTGTTTTGCTCATGGTTATCTGTATGCAACGAACCAATGTGAACCCCGTCTTACTTACCAGCAAAAAGGTAGGCAGTAGACACAGAAGCTATCTGCAGATATACGATCAAACGAACAAATATACATACTGTGTATTTAAAGCTTTGTAATGATGCACATACACATGTAAGTATGTTTATGTGCAGTGGATTTAAACAATAAAGTTGGACTGAAACATGTGGTCGTCTCTTGTATAAATGAATATTTTTGTACGTAACGTATGTATGTATATACAGTGGTGATCAAAATGTATGAAACCACATCTAAGTATCTAAAATTTAGGGGAAACTTTCCATTATGGCCGTTCGTTAAAGGTACGGTGGGCGAAGGGGGAGTGGGCGTGGCACCTCCAACCGACATTTTTGGAGAGGGCATGAACCGCCATTGACAAAAATGCAACCCCCGACCACCTAGGCCCGCTATGGTTCCCTACGGACCCCTTAGAAAAATTGCCAAAAATCGCAATTTTTACTTGCGTCCACAATATTTTTGCGTAGAATTCCTTTCTGCCGCGCTTAGGGATTATAACCCTTACTACGTAGAATTCTCCTTTCTGTGTGACCTAACTGGGGCTACTGACTGAAATAACTGCCGCTTTAAAGATTTTACTAATAGTTTTAAAAATTTCAAAAAAACTAAATCCGCGTCCCTTGGCTCGGGATAAAGGGGGATCTAATGTTCGAAAAAACATTTGCTAATTTCAGCTGCACATAAAGCTCAAATAAGTCGATCTTAAACATCTTTTGGGACTATGTTTTTCTGCTGCAGGAGTGGGCCTATTGCATATAACTCTTTGCATAATGAATCTCTATAAAAAGTTGATGTGTTTGTCTTCCGAAAACCTCGAAAACACATCAACATTTATACATATCGTCGTTTAAAGTGCAAAACCGCGTATCAACAAAATGCAAAACCGCGTATGTGAAGCTGTAGAAATTATTTTCTAGAGGGTAAAAACTCTCATATTTCAAAATGGTTCTCTTTTTTATAAAGCAATCCCATTTCTGGCTAGTATATTTCAGGACGAATGGATAAGGATTGAGCCAAGAGCTTGTGCGAGCAAATCCAATTTTTGGCAGCCAATGTCAGTTACGCGGTTTTGCAGAATGACGATACGCGGTTTTGTACTTTAAACGACGATATGTAAATAGTCACCAGTTTGAGGAATTTCGAAATGAAATTTGATCGATTAATGGGTTCGGTTAATCAGAACAGGGAATTTGATACGATGATTAAATCGCTTTTTGAAAATAATTACTTGCTTAATGCTATACATTTGATTAATCTAGCCATCCCTGGAATACACATGTTGAGTCATAAGATCGGTTGGAGCAAACCTCATTGAAAAAAATGAGTAAATCTGCCATCTCAGTCGGTCAATCGCCTCTCCTCTTTTTTCATGACTTTTTCGCATCTCTTTGTGAAGCTATTCGTTACCTGCATATTTGACATCCTTAATTACCTTCTCGTTCAAACGATTTTTGGCAGTAGCTTTTAATCTCTATGACATATGAGCAAATCTCACGAGTTGTTACATATTTCGACAAAAAGGGGCTTTGGTCGAAAATGGTGGTAAACCTATCTTATGCCCATTTCGTTTCTACCGAAAAATGCAACCTTCTCTTTGCCCTTTACGCACAAACACTAAGAAGAGGGCGCTGAGAAGGCAACATTTTTTGTAGAAACGAAATCGCCATTAGAAAATGCATTATCTTTAGTTTTGTATAAAGAACAAGATTCCGTCGCGAAATTGTACTTAAATGAAATCTTAAAAAAGATATACTAAAAAAAGTAGAAATAACCACTCATGCTCATATACATACCCGTAGTTGCGTATGTAACGTATACGCCCTGTAGCACCATACGCAGTCATCTAATACTTTTACTCGCAGGCCTTAACTTAAAAGCGATATATGTACATAATTTAAAAGTAATTAAATATTGATGTTTAAGATTTTTACACAGTACTCCTTATGCATATAAATATTTCTTTCTTCATGCACATATATAACAATTTTAGGCAGAATTTCGAGTGCAGCAATAAAAATTCTAAAATGGAATTTTATTTTCTCAAATCATATTCATCTATTACTCAATGTAATTTTTTTCATTCGGTGAGATACTAGATGTACTACACTAGATTCGTTCGTTTTGACAAGAAGGACATTTCCACCGTTTTATGTTGACATTTTGAATATCTTTAACTTTTAAAATTGAAAAGAAATTTTAAAATTTCAAAAATTATAAAATAACTGTGACAGATATTCTGCATGCTGCCATTTTTGAATTTCATGGTGCACTATTGAAACTTCATAGATATGTTGTATTTGATGCCAACGTCCATTGCCTTTAATATGAACATTATATTTGAGCACTTCCCAAAGTCATTAAAAAAATTAGTAATTTCGGTACTTTTTCGCCTAAATAAACGTTTTAAGGCTAAAATGGTTCAAATACTTGATTTATTTTCTTTTATTTTGCTTGTTTCTGGAACTCAATTGATTGAAATAAATGCCAGAAGTATGCTTTAGCGGTTTTTTCTGCCGAAGAAAGGGAGTGAAACCAGAAAAAAAATAACTCGTGAGACTTGCTCATATACAGTGAACCAAAAAAGAGTTGTACATCGAAGGTCCTCATCTTCAGAGTTGAATATTTCTGCCATTAGGTAAGCTATTAAGGTAAAACCAAAAACAATTAGAAGACAAATACTTCCTTTATATTCCAAATAGGTACTGAAACTAACAGTTATATTTTTTTTAAGTCACCTTGGCCAAATATTTACATAAAAGTCATTTCCTGATACTAAACAAACCGCTTATCCAAATTAAACCAGTTTGGTATCAAATGAAAGATAACTGAAATAGCTTTAAAACTGAAATGTCTAAACGAGGAAGGCCCCCTATTGGAAAATATTTCATTAAAAAACGGTATTTAATTACCATGGAACAAACCTTGAGTCAGGCATATGAATTTCTTTTGTATTAAATTAAAAAAATATATATAAGTAGAGGTGGTAATCTTCGTTCATTACTGTTTGGAAGCTATTTCCGTCCTTTTTCATTTGATACCAAGTTTAAAAAAAGTAACTGTTATTTTCGGTCCCTGATTCCAACAAAAAAGTTTTGTTTCAAATAACTAAGTTTAGTTCTAAACCTTAAACAATGTAGAAAAACTGAATTTTTTTCAAACAAAAAAAAAAAAATTGTACACTAATTTCAAAACGATTAACGGGTGAAAAGCTTAATCAGTTAATACAAATTAGTATTCAATGTGGTAGCCTTTAGCATCTAGCATGGCTCTAAGCTTTACGTTTATATATGGTGTAAGTAATAATTACCTTATTTTACTAGATTTCAGCAATGTACCAAATGTGAAAGTTTTGTGCCAGTGCATCAAAATAAAAAAAAAAATCTACCAAAAATGTTACATTTCGGTCAAAATAGCAACCGTACTTCCACATAATGGTATTTATGTACACATCTGTGATATATTAATTAAGCGACTTATCCGGAGATAGGCCATTTTGCCTTTAAAGTAATATTTCATTGGGTTTCTAAATAATATTTTAACGAATAACTAGCCATAGGTGTAGTTTAACAGGCCATTTTAATAGAAGCTTAAAAAAATATGTATAACAATTTTCGAGAGAAACCTATTCTTTTTTAATTCAAAGTTAAACCTTCTAAAGCCACTTAAACTGTTTTAATAAAGTGCCACAGATATGTACTATAATTACGGTGACCATAAATATGGATTCAAAATGAAGGAAAATTTTTCAAAAATATGCCTACATATATTTACGTAGTATAAAAATATCAAAAGAGTATTTATGATTCTAAATTCTTAATACATTTTAAACTTTAAAAACGAATCACGTTTTCTTCATCGATAATAATCTTTTTTTACGTGAATATTTATAAAAGTATAGTAAAACATATTATAATTACAATAGCTTACACGAAAAGTGTAAATCTTTAAAATATTATTTTATAGGCAAATTTTGAGTCGTTCAAAACGAAAACAATACCCTTTTTTTGGTACTTTTCGCAGTTATTTGTCAAAAATCTACGTCATGAATCGATGTAAACGACGAGTTACATAGGTATTTATGTGCCCTTTACAAAAATATATAATTTGTGCAGATTGCGCTTCATAGAATCTACATTTCTAATCCGCTTTTCATTATCTTTGGCTCAAAATTTACTGTAATGATATATCTTCTTTATCGAATTTTTAAACTAATGAAAAAAATAATCAAATAAAACTGCGTATTTGATTGAAACTCTTACTTTCTTCGATTTTGACGACAAAATGCAAATGGTCGCCTGTAGCACTAATAATTTTCATGGAAGTCGCCACAAGTTATATATTTTGGTAAGAGGCACATCAATACCCCTCGAGCTGTAAGTCGCTTACGTTGATTGGCAGATTTTTTCATGCGATATTGGTAAAAAGCTACGAAAAGTACCAAAAAACACTTTTTTGAAAAAATCCATCCATTGTCCGATAATTTCAAAATAACGAATAAAATGCGGGACAAATGCAGGACAGTTGGAAAAAATCAGTACATTTTCAGGTTTTTTAGGTTTGAAAAACTACGCAGGACCGACCTTTGAAAAACAGTACGGTCCTGCAAAAAACAGAACCGATGGTCACCGTAACTATAATACAAATTTTTCTTCATATAAGCACATATGTATTTATGTATGTATGTACATATGTACACAAGCGCTCATGAATACAATGGGTATGTATTTATTGATATGTACCTACTCGTATTTGTACAAATGCTGGTAGGTACCTTCATATTATTCTCTTCATTTCTTTTTGCACATTTTGTATCTTTTTTGGCTTTCCGTCGTTGCGCATTTCACGTTTTATGCACTTGTGTATATTTTAACGGGTTGGTTGGTCCGCCCTTGTGCCCAGCGCTCTCAGCTGTTGTCACAAGTTTTTAGCCATCATTTTAACAGCAAGCAGTCCATTAGCGGTAGCCGGCACCGCCGCCAAGCAAATCGCACAGTCTTTTTGCAAGCTATCTTTCTTGTCCAATGGTTATTTTTAGATGGTTTGTTGTAAGCTTGTCGGACTTTTTGTCTTTCTGCCTATGTACCATTCTATCTACATAAAACAATGTATCTGTCAGTCAACCTATGTACATACATGTTTATCCACACGAGTTTTCTTTCCGTTTACCGTCATTTCCGACCTTTTTCGATATAGCGAACACATTTTACGCATTCCCACGGTTCTTCGTTGGAACGAAGTCTGAAATTCGTGTTTCACATTCGCGTGTTTCCTCATCCAAAAGCTACGATTTGGCAAGCCGTTTAGTTGTAATTCTTCAGCTTTTTTTCTGTTTGAAAAGGTCTTCAAACGCGCTGGCGTTGCAAGGCAAATGAGGAAATGTGTACAAGAAAAGTTTCTAGACATTCATCAATGAATTAGTGTGTGTGGCTGCTTTAGGGCTGATTCCGAGTGGTTCTAAGCAGTTCCAAAAATTCACATGCGCGTTACTGGCTACAATCTATCTGCAATACCGTCGTATCGTACGTTGTTGGTCTACATACATACATATGTATGTTAATAGATTTACAGATGTACATAATGTATCGTCACCTGAAATGCAAAATAACGTAACCACATCGTCACTGAAATGGAAAAAGTCGTGACTAATTTTTTATCTTTTTTTTTTATAAAACGATGTGGGTAGTTGTAATTCGATGAAATCCATCATAACAATCAAAAAATGAATTTTGAATTTTTTATAAGTTCCGACTTTTTGCATTTCAGTTACGATGTTGTTACGTTATTTTTCATTTCAGGTGACGGTATGTACATATGCATATATAAATCAAACTGTAAGACCCCTTTCAGACACGCCAAGTCTTGATTTCAAGTCAAGTCTAAGCAATGTGGAGAATTCTACTGTGGAGCTGTTGAAACTCGTCAACAGCTTCATTGTTTGCAATCGGCTTCTGCAGCAACTTTCCCTCCATGGTCTGCAACCTTTCCCCCCTTATAACCCCCTATTTTCCACATTCAAAAACACATACTTGCATACTTTCTGAATTATTACTGTATCCAGATGGCTGTATCTTTCAGATACATCGCTGATGACATTTCAATAATTTGCACGTATGTATGTCGGCGTATTGGATTACTTCTTCTTTTTAATTTGAAATCTCCTGTTTGCTGATACGACTGCTGCTGCATATTCTTTTGCACACATACGTATATCGTCGTTTAAAGAACAAAACGGCGTATCAACAAAATGCAAAGCCGCGTATGTGAAGTTGCATAAATTATTTTCTAGAAAGTAAAAACACTCATATTTCAAAATGGTTCTCTTTTTTATAAAGCAATCGGATTTCTGGCTAGTATATTTCAGGAAGAATGGATAAGGATTGAGCCAAGAGCTTGTTTGAGCAAATCCAATCTTTTGGCAGTAAATGTCAGTTACGCGGTTTTGCAGAATGATGATTTTGTACTTTAAACGACAATATGCACATATGTATGTGTGTATATGTATAGCGAAAACTCCAATTCGTCTTTTGCAAGCTCAACATTTTGTGCATTGATGTCTCTCCGGCGTCTGCCGTCTGCCATGTCTGCGCTGTTTGTTATTTGTCTGCCATTTTACATCTTTGCAGCTTCCTATCTTGTTTCCGTACATCATATCTCTGTATTTCTCATGCTGCATTTTACTCCTTTTCTTCTCATTCACCCTACAGATTCCCAGACGACACACTGTTCACACAACGTGCACCATAATAGAGTTTGTTGTATCTAATAAATCTTAACAAAGAAAAAATAAAAATAAGTAAAAAATGAAAGTCGTCAAATAGGTGGTTTTAAGTGCAAAATATAGAAATACTATATGAAAAATTACACTAACAAATACAGCAACAAAAATGTAATTCGTTTATTTGTGAAGTAAACAGCAGTTACAGAAAGAAACCAATACAAATATACCAAAACCTAAACGAAAAGGTAAATAACCAAAAAAGTGGAAGAAAATTGATGCACAATTGGTGTCTGATTGAGTCAGTGTTCAACATCGGCCCACCGCCGTCGACTGGGTTATGAATTTACCTAATATTAGCCGCTTCGTCTGCTTAAAATTGAATTTTCTCATCAGCGCATAGGTTTGCTGCATCACAAATTCGAAAGGTAAGTGGCATAGTAATTGTTGAATGATGGAAGCTCTTAGACACTTTAGCGATATAGTACATTTCATAAACATATACTATATATGTACATATCGTCATCCTTATGCCAGCAGCATGAATATGCAAATTTATCAATTTTGAGTTATTGGGTTGACTTGATAAACCTTTGGATGTTCTATGTTATACCAAAATCTGGAATACCATGCGTACAAGGACACCAAATATTTTATAATTTCAATCGCATAATTGTATGTACATATTTACATTTACTAGAAGTTAATAGTTATAGCGCTGTCGAGTTCTTATCAGAAGATCTGACGTAAATACTTTGCAAAGATTAGAGTTAAAAACAACTATATATGTTAGGCCATAAATATCAACTTATTGAAGGAGAAAAATCATAATTCACGCAAATTGATTACTCATAACTAGCTATATATTTAGAAGGGTATTCGATTATTCGCCTTTTCTTTAAACCGGGTTTCGAGTTATTCGGTTCCCCATTTTCAAATTAAGAAAAAACCGGATAAACCAATTTTATTTTACATATTTCCTCTACAGTAACATTTACTGTTAGTCAGAAATCATGAACAAAATTACAATATGACTGCTAAAAATAGTAAGGCAAAATAAGTTCAAAGTATTTTGGATTACAAGTAAAACAGAAAAAAATGAGTGAAAAATTCACACCCTGAAGTCCACCGATCTTAACAAGATTAGATCGCTAAAACAAAAGTCCTTTGTCGAGAAAAATACGCGTATTTAGAACCGACTGTTTTGGAAATGAGAATACACCATCCGCTGAACCAGACCGACTTTACAAATATAGTCTATTATAGACAGGCCACACATCGACAATCAATCAACACCTTCGTCAACTCTCACTACTTGAATTCCATCATCGGAGACCAAAGCCACCTAACGCAGACAAAGAGTTCGAGTTGCTTCGTGAGGATACTTAAACCTGGTTTGTCCAATTTTAATAAAATGTCGCGGCGACACCATTCGTTTTTAGTAAGCAGCACCAACAAAAAAAATAAAATTAAAAATTGAAAGATTTTCTTTCGGTTTATTTTTGGAGGTAATTTTTTGCAGTGAAAAATTTACCAGTATTCAGATATAAAATTAATACAAATGTTCTATGTAGTCCCATTTTACCTTTAATACATATTTTGAACTTTTAGATGCTAGCATATAAATAAACTTGAAACCCGGTTTATTCGATTTTCAAAAATACGGTTTACTTGGTATTCAAAAAATGAAGATTAAGAAAACTGCTTCAAAATATTAAAAAAAAAAAACGGCTTAAACCGGATTGTAAAAACCAAGTCAATTACCCTATTATATACGTTTTCTAGAAGAACGTCATAATGAAAGCATTTGTTTAAACTAAATAACTCCATTGTATAAAGAATTCATAATTGCTAAATCTTTAAGTTATTATTTTTTGTTTTTGTTCAGTGCAGAAAAGCCAACTAAACACTTTGGCTGCGTTTCTTTATACATTCCGGATAATCCCATTTCACAGCCGGAATAAATAGAATGCGTTTGAAATATACGTTAACATATCATCAGGAACGTTCCAAAGAATAAATAAACAAAAAAGTTTATTCCAAACGTTCAGAATGAATAAAGAAATGCAGCCTTTATATCAACAATGTTATTGAGTTTTTTACCGCGATTTGTTTTTAAGGAAAAATGGAAGAAGCAACAAAATATCAGCGGTATATTATAGCTACTATTTCGGAGATCACTAAATATCCTCATCAGACTACTTTTTCTTGACTGGTCAGCTATAACTTCTATCGCTTAAACTTTGTTGTTTTTACAAGCTTTTATTTTTTTCGCCTGTGTGTAATCAAACCTTGCAATACATTTTTAGCCATCTTTCCGATGAGCTACTTGGCGTGGGTGTCGAAATATTTGAGAACCCCGTATTTAATTTACAGTATTTGTTCTAATCTCTTTCAATGCTATGAGCCATTATTTCCACCTATTATCTTGCTGTTCCACAGTAAGAAAGTGTTTTCCCGTTCAAACCGGGTCATTGATATTCTTACCGTGTTCTTTCTAATTTGTCTAAATTCTTCTTGTTACACCCAAGACCCGTTGATGTGTCTAAGATATCTGGGGCGCTTAAACAATTTTGTGCTTCTTTGTATGGTTCTATCCTTCATTAAGTCATCAAAAGTAGATTCGTAGGGGTATCTAATTATCTTGATTCCAGCGCTATCTATATTTTGGGCAAATTTTTTTTTTGCATAAGCAGGTTTTATCAAGGCGGTTACTGGGTTGTAGTTGTTTGCAGTGCGCGCTACCATTCCGAAGGGCCTGGGTTCAAGCCCGGCGCTCCTCGACAGGTAATAGCAAAACTCCGAGTGTATTTCTGCCATGAAAAACAGCTGTAGGTGCCTCCCCTTTGTGTAACAACATCGGAGGAAAAGTTCGGCCTATACACACTAACATATGTATGTCTAAGCGCCAGTCTATTATTATTATAGGTTTTATCATAGAGTTAATATCCATTCATCCATTTCGTATGATAAAGACGGATTCTTTAAATATCACGATTCGAGCGTCATCTGTCAGAAACTTATTTGTATGTATTTCTCATAGATCTTCACACCAAATTTCAAAAGTCATGTAACTTATGGTTCCGAAGTTATAGCTGATTAAAAATTTCACGGCTATGGAATGCGCCGCGCCCTTTATCAGAGCCCATTTTTTATACCGTATGTTATGCCCGAGTTTACTGTCTAGTCACCAGTCAAATCACCATGAAAATCCATTGAGTAGTTCCGGAGATTAGTAGTTTCAAACAGACAAAATGTATCCAGTTATATTCGGTCATTCTTTTAACGAAATTTTCAATAAAGTAGTAGGGATGCCAATCCTGGGATCCCGGTATTGCGGTGTTTTTAAGGTCCCGAAAATACTAGGAGTTGCTTGCATTAATCCCGAGATCCTGAAAAATTTAAAATATCGAATTGATAGTAAGAACTTGTTTATGAATTTGAAGCATGGTTTTTGTAAAATACTGTTTTGACTACAATTAACAAAAAGTTTGAAACTATACTTTTAAATTGCAGCGGAACCTTCTTTGAAGAAGATTTAAATGAATGTACTCATAGCATCGCTAATGTTAACGAAACAGAAAGTTTTAGGGAAAAGTTACACAATTTCTTAAATCAATCTACTCAAACTTCCTCAAATCGAAAAACATATAATTTATCCGACGTGCTGGTAAGTAAAAGAAATTCAAAATTTTGTAACGGAGGAGATAGGGGTCATTATCTTCAAATGGCTATGTGTTGAGACCGAAATATGTTTTTCATCAGTAGGTTTTTTATGTAACAACTGCAGGTCAAAATAAGAAGACCCCGCTTTGAAAGCTTTGCTGCTCTTACTTGCACGTTTTAAGTGCAATAATAACCACACCGGCACACAAAAAGGGTGCGTGTTTTTAACCAGACCCACCTACCAACATGTATTTCGACCCGCTGAATCCGACTCTGAGGTTCGTTTGACAAGTCAACCCTAACAAATTTCGAGTAAATTGCGAAAAAATGGCAAAAAAATCGTCATTCGCCATTTCTTTATGGAGTAGAATAAATATCTATATTTAGAGAATTTGTTTTTGTATATTTTTGTTTAATGTTTTTTCATTTGTCATTACTTTTAAAAGTACCTGGTATTTACATTATTATTTGAGATGTATACGTTCCTCAATCGCACGGTTTTTTAAATACAATAAAAAAAAATGTATTACTTTAAGATTTGTCTGGATTAATAAATATGTGAGTTTAACAATCAGTTTATCGAAAATTCTAAGTAGTTTTATTTCATGGTATGTTTAAATGCTTTCAGATATAGAATTTTTACTCATATTCATAAAATCCCGGGATCCAGCGATTACTAAAAAATATCCCGAAATCCCGGGATCGCAATTTCTCGCATATTTTGGCATCCCTAATAAGTACAAACACCGCTTTGCTACGGTTTTAAAAAATGGTATCGATTGCTTTACGAACTCAGCAATAATCCTTGCGTAATTAACTTAACAAAGATAAATTAATGGTATTTTCTAAAAAACACTAAAGAGAAGATACGAATGTATTTAATGTGAATCGCGTACACTGAGAACAGAGTTTAGTTACGTCAACTAAATATGTTTTTCTCAACACATGATTTGGTTATAGTTACACTATTTGTTTATAGTTACCAAATCATGTGTTGAGAGGACTATATTTGCCCGACTTTTTTCTGAGTGTAGTAATGTGTTCCGTGCTTTGAAGCTCCTTTAAAAAGGTAGTAACATTAAACAGATGTACTAACGCCATTACAGTGGTAACTTATGTACATTCCTTCAATAGTTGTTTGGACATGGTAGCAAGGTCCTTATATTGGCACAGTTCGCCTCTGACATGGCACGTAATTTTCGGAGGTTGCTGCTTTGCTTACACATTTTTAAACTAATTTTTAAATAATAATTTAACAATTTTTAAAACTACTTGTCATACCAGTTGTTTGATCAAAAATAGTAAAACACAACCAGCTGCATGAGACTGCTCAAATTCTATGTTAGTTTCAGGTCAATCTTAAAGTCAGCCCAGTTTGTATGTATGTATATGTATTCGAGTAAATATTTTATCAAGAGAACTGTTGCTTCAGTAACATGTATATCGCATTTCGTACCACCAAATGAGCCCACGAAAAAGCCATAAGAAACCAATGTTTAGCTCATAATTGTACATATTTAACTATGTTTAAATGTGACGCACCCCAACTCAAAGCGCAGCGACCTAAAACAACACAAAACAGGTCCTCAGCTGTAACGAAGCAATTGGGGTAAATTTACCCTAATGCGACTACTACGAAGTCAGCTGGTGGTGACAGAAAGCTCGTAGTAAACTGTTCGAGTTACTTGGAAATAAACCGAATAAAATGAGTGAATTCTGTATAAATCGAATTTGGTTTGTACAAAAGTTGTTCACTGTTTTT